GACCAACTTAAGACATATTTTCAATCAAATTGCCAGAGATCACAAGACTTTCACACCAACCTAACTGGGGCCTAGCTGTCAACGCCATGTGGTACCAACATTGAGAAAAGAGAAAAAGCAAAGACTCCAGGATCTGGAAGTATTTTCCTGGCCATTACAGGGAGAACAGTAAATGCTACAGTGCTGCCCAGAGGGTGGGAGAGCAGTCACAGCCTGCTACCCCCTGGCGATCCCTCCTTGCATCTGGAAGACAGCACAGCTGCTCACAATATGGGAGAGCTGGTGAGCTGTGTGTTCAGAGCCAGTTTTATGCTCTTTTTCGTGAATAAAGGAACTCAACCGCTTAAAGTAAAGGGTGTTGCCCCCTGGAAAGAAAGCATGAACAGTAGTGCTAACGAAGCAACCAGGGGAGGAAATGGACAGGCATTCTTTTGGTCTCAAACAACTTCAAAGCTTTGTGCAGACTCATCTAAAAGTACCAATGGTTCACCACATGTGGCATTTGTGTGCAAGCATCAGCATCAGCAAAGGAAGGAAGAAGGGAGGAGACTCCACTTCCTTCCCTGGCGACTAGAGGGGGCCCAGAGATGAGCAGGAGAGTGAAGGCACTGCTGGGAGACCCACTTCTTTCCCTCCACCTCTCCTCGTCCCCACCTGCAGAGGGCAGGCAGCACCCAGGAACTGGAGGCTGCGTCTTCCTACTGTGAAATGGTTCCTCAGTTTAAAGGAACTGGTTTTGATCTCTCCAAAGGGTAGGATTTGAAGCTGGAGACTTTGCCCAGACCCACATCTAGAAGGCTTATAGTCATCTAGGGAGTGAGTCATGCCAAAGCAGGAGAGGCTAACCAATGAAAGCGATTTTACCCGACACTTTCCTTCACGTGAGATGCAGGCAGGTCCTGTGAGCCACACAGCACACTCAGGGCTTTTAAAGTCTAGTTTATCCAACAGAAGGTAGCTGCAACCTGTTTCCTCGTCCAAAAACGAGGTTGGTCAAGAAAAAGTGTGAGCACCTATTGTGGAACACAAGATCTTATAATCCCAAACACAACCTTGGGGCCAACAGGAAGGTATTCTTAAGCAGAATCCGGTTTGTAACAGTCACACAGATCTCTTTCTCTTTTTTTTAGACATTTCTGCCCTTTGTCCCTCCATTGCGCATTAAATTTTTATTATGAAAATAAATAAATACTGAAACATATGTGTAACAGCTAGATCTTAGGTTAGCATGAGGGAAGCCATCTTAGGGAAAGGAAGCAATATTGTAACTATGACCCTGACTCACCAGTCTCTATGAATGCCTTCTGGCCTGCACGTAGCCTAGATGATTAAGCACCTCTCGCTTTTGCAAAATACATGATCTGCTAGCTCTACGACTCTTGTTTACGTATATCTCCCAGCTGTGATAAGATGATAACTTTGTTCTCTGAGTTCCCGAGGAACATGGTGACCTCCAGAAGGAGAAACTCTGTGTTGGTACCGGTCACAAATGACAGAAGAAAGAGATAATGTGGTGTCTTGAAGTTTGTCACACGGGACAATCTATATCCCTAAACCCCCTCCATCCCTGCCCATTTCCCCTACATAACTGCCTCAAGATTCAGGATGATTTTAAGATGGTTCTTTAGGACACTAGTCCACCATCTTCCAATTATGCTGCTAATTGTATAAACTTTCCTTTCTCAACCAAAAACTTGTTGGCAATTGGTTGGCACCGGATTGCGGAGAGCAGAAGGAGCCCCTTTTTGCTCAGTTACACATGAAGAATGACACCCATGTATCTATTCTCCACCCAACATGAACGAATAGCAACATTCTACCATACTTGCTTCTGATCTTTTTTAAGAAATGAAATATCACAGAGAGGTGAAGTTCCCTTTGTTTATATCCCCAAGTCACATGTCCCTCCCTCCCCCAGAGGTAACCACAGTGGGATGCTGGCATGTGGTTCCCATGATTCTACGCATTTACTACACACATCGGTATCCTTAGGTACTTAGGCTGTTTTGTATTTCAATTTATACAAATGGGTTCATACTGTACATAAATGGGTTGGCAACTTTCTTTTCCTCTGCCATTATAATGTTTAGATCTATTTGTGTTAAAACATATAACTCTAATTCATCTAACTTTTGTTGAGTGCAGGCATTGTACTGATATGTTCTGCAACTTCTCCCCGACTAACGGGGCCTTTCGCTATTACAAACATTGCTGCACTAAACATCCTCACATGTCACCTTATGATGTGGCTGAGAGTTTCTTAAGGTATATTTGGAAAGGTAGAAACACTGGGCACACATGGCATAAACAATCATACTGGATGTCATCTAACAGCCCTCCAAAATACACATATCAATTCACACTCCCATTAGCAGCCTGTGGGTCCCCATGTGCCAGTATGGTCCATCAACATTAAGAAACTGTCAGACCTTTTGATGTTCATCAAGATGATGGTATATAAAACTAACACAATATTGTATGTCAACTACAATAAAAATTAAAAGATGATGGTATATAACGGTATTGCTTTGTTGAATTAAATATTCACCAATTTGCATTTCCCTGATCATAACTGACCAACCTTTCCTCAAATGCCAGCGAACATTTGAGGTTTCCTCTTTTGTAAATTTTCCTGTTCATTGTCTTTGCCGTTTTTTTCCCTGTGGGGTTGTTAATCTTTTTCTTAATGATTTATAAAAGATCTTTATGTATTTTGATTACCAGTCATTTGTTATCTATGTTGCAAATGTCTTCTCCTAATCTGTCAGCCGCACATCGAGTGTTGAAATACAGACTAAGAAGTCTTCTGAATATATTACTCCTGAAACAGGTGGTACTGTCCCGAAGGCAGACGAGAATCGTTTACACAGCGATAAGATCTACAAACATCCACAAAACCAGAGTACAGTCATAACCACATAAATTTTACATCCGGGGAGCTCTTTATACTTTTCAAGGTATCTTTTAACCACCTAATTTCAGCCTCACAAAAACGTATGAGGTTAGCAGGGCCTGATTTTCTCATCTGTAAGATTCAGCGGTTGATCATCAAAATCCTTTTAATGATCGACATCGGACCTTTTATCCTTCGTCTGCAGCTGGGAAGATCCAGGCCCAGAGGAGTGGACAAACTTGTCTACAGTCACACTCCTACTTGAAGATACAGGCACTTTATATGTCAATTATATCTCAGTAAAGTTGGGGGAGGGAAGTACAGGAGGCTCTAAAATCTTAGTCATCTGATCCCTTAGGCAGTGTCTCTCCCCATGAGGGTGGCATTGAGATCCACACTAGGAGACAAGCAGAAAGGCAGGAAGACGGGAGTCTGAGACAGAGACAGGCACAGCTCCATCACCGGACCTTCCAAAACACAGGAAGATGACAATGGCCCCTCTCGACTCACACAGGATGAACCCATCTTGTGTTTCCGCTCCCAACAAGAAAAGGGCCGTGTGAACACAAAGACGGACTCTATTCAAGAACTTTTATTGAGCAACGAGTATGGGGCCCAGATTCTGCACCCAGTGCTCCAGGTGTGGAAATATTATCGGCTTTCATTGCTAGAGGCAAGTTTCTCTCACAAAGAGAATGGGTTTTTTTTTTCATTGTTCTTAGTACATGCAGAAACACTGATTGACCCAGAAGATGTATCTAAGACTGTAACTGAATGGGAGTGGCTCTAACTCTCAGCGTACAATGACACACCACCGTAACAATGGCTGAAGCAGCGGAGATGGAAAATACCCATGGGTGCCAGCACGAAACTTCTCACCAGATCCGGGGCCCCACCCAAGTCACCCTGCAAAGAGACACTTCTGGTGGTGGAGCACAATGGGCATTACCGTGGCCAGTGTCAGCTCATCCTATTCCACACACTCTCCAGGGTAGGGAGGTCCAGACAGACCTGGGAGAATCTGGTGATGTTGGCATTTCTGGGGACGCTGGCTTCAGGCATGACCCACAACAGCGTTCACAAGTGGTGTCTTCTCCAGTTCCCCAGAAACCAAATATACCTGAACTAATTATGCAAAAGTCCGCCAGTTTAACTCCCTCGTTTCTGTTTTTGTTTTAATTACGATGCAGAATCTTAGGGAGACAAACGCAGTCTGAATACACTCCTTAATAGCACACCTCATGGCGTATAATGCAGAATTACTTGTTTCTATCACTATAGGAACAGATTGCGAAACATCTTCCTCCCTCCCTTGGATGATGAGTCTGATTCCTGTCCAGTTCGGAGCACTGAGACAATGCCTTCAGCATAACAGATGTTCCATGAGTATCCACAAAATGAATGAATCGCTGGTGGACGGCACCCACGGCTGCCGGCAACCTCTCCTGCCAATTTCAGAGGTTCAAGGAGTTAGCATAATTTAGAGTGGGAGAGGAAGTCATCTGTAGAAAAAGATGAAAAACAATACCTAAAGAGTTTCCTAACAGCCCTTCACATTAGAAACGGGTACTCCTGGTTATACATGCTAACACACCTCACATTCCCTGTTGTTTAGACTCAGTAACAAAACCTAAGGGTTACAGCCTATTATAGCCTCTAAAAGTTTTTATCCCCTACATAAACTTTTTAAAAGAGTTGAGACCTAAAACTGAAGAAAAACTTCCTAATAAACACTGTGCTAGTTGTGGGGGATAAAGAGCCTGTGCCTTCCCCCACTCAGACCCATAAAAAGCCCCCTGAGTGATGACCACACCTGGGCGCAGGTGGGCCTTGGAAAGAGCCCACCAAGGCTCCAGAAAACAGCATCCCAAGTGGCAGGGTGTCACCAAAGCAGCCGTCACGGGCCACATGGTCAGGACCTGACCTCCCATGGGCCCCCGTCTGCGGCACAGGAGCCTCCCTTTGCACACCCAGCGCCACCCTAGTGCTGAATGAGTCAGAGATGGCACCAGGTGGCTGGGCCTCCTGGACATGTGGAAATCAGCAGCAGTGCCCTGGACCCCCAGCCCCACCTGGCCTTGCCCTGTGCTCCCGGAAGAGTCTTTCCTGAGAGTCCCTCTGAGGAAGGTCGGTGAAAAGAGAACAACTGCACAGAGTTAGAGCGGAGTTCTAGAAGAGCCAGCACAGGAACATGCCCCCAGCAGAAGCTGAGGCAGGGCCTTCCTAATGCCTTGGAAACATTCTCCAGGAGTCGGCAGAGAGGACAAAACAGGACAGCCCAAAGGGACTCGGGGAACGTTGTTCTATCTATGGCAACTGCACCGCTTCAGACAAACATGGCAGAAGCCCTTGCAGCCCGACGCTGGGCTCAGCAAGGCCAGCAGCCATGGTGCCACCAGCCTGCTCCCGCCTCCCGTGCCTGCAGCTCAGTTGTAGGAAAGGTAATTGATGAGCCGGGGTGGGATGTTCAGCTTGGCGATTTTCTCCAGCCCTCTGACGCCGGTGGCCCTCCTCAAGCTCACCCTGCACAGCTGCGACAGGGTCAGAGGTGTCTCTGGAAAAAGGGAACAGGAAGCACGTGAGGTCAGCTTAAGGAAGTAGCATAACATCCTCCAACTTAATAAACACTCTAAGGTGGAATTGGAAACATCTCCCTCTTCCCAGAGCTAGCACACGTCCTGCATGCCTTCTCTGGAAGGCTACCAGGAAGGACAGCCAGGGACCGAGGACACACGATCAGGAAATGGGATTCCAGTGATGTCCATAGGGATTTCATTTTGTGGGGTTTTTTGTTTTGATTTTCTTTTTTGTTTTCCATAATGTTGTAACTTGGCACACAGATTTGTCAGCAAAGGACGAACCTACGGCTAGGAGCCTTGTTTGTCGAACTTCCGGACAAACGAAGGACGGGGCGGAGGGTTAGTGCCCGGAGGTGCTGGTGCCAGCTCCTGCTGTTCCAGACCACAGGCTCTGCTCTCACTACCGAGTGCCACAGGCCGCAGGAGACCCAAGGAGAGCGGATGCACATCACAGAACATCTAGCAGACACCGGACGCAAATGCACGTCCTGCTGGCAGAGGGTCAGGGCCTCAGGACTAAAGAAGCAGCCAGGAGCTGGAGGTGCTGGGGGGTGAGCAAACCAGGGCCAGAGATGGAAGACGCTGGAGGTCCCTGGCAGCTGGGGCATGGCACTATTGGCCAAGCAGAGCCTGGCCTCAAGGACTGCCTTTTAGAATGATCCGTGATTGATAAAAACAAATTAACCAGAGTATTCCCAATTTATGAAAATGTATGAAATAAAAAGCTCTTTGAAAGAAAAAAAAAAAAAACTACTGGTGAAATTCATTTTCCCATGTTACTTCTTCCCCCAAATTATTTGGATGCAGAAGAAGAAACATCTTCTGGGAAATAGTTAACCAACAGATATGGATAGTGTTGCCTCTGAATTCATAATGGATTTTGGTTGGGTAGAGTTGCCAAAACTTTGAATAAATTGACACACTTTTTTTCAACTGATAGGTGTCTGAAAGCCTCTTGTGAATGTAATCCTGGTAAACTCATTTAAAGATTTGTACCAAAGAAGTCTTGTCCTTAGCCAGATCATTTGTACTTTGTTTCCTGAAGAGTGAAGCTTGTGTCTATATTACCAGCCTCACATGGAGTTTGCAATTATTTACTCATAAATGATCTGATATATTGCCAGAACAGAGCTTCCTGCATAACTGTCTCTCGTGCAATTCTAAAATACATTGCATCGTGCAAACAGCAACAAAAGTAAGAGTCCCCTCACTTTCGTAGTGCTCGAAGCATTTGCCAGGGGCGCTGCTGCTCCACGTGTAGTCGGAGGGTTTCTTCCCCCGGTTGTCCCGCGCGTAGATGTTGCCTCCAAATTCGATGAGCATCTCAATCAGGTCAACGTTCTTCACCTTGGCCGCGTGATGAAGGGCTGTCTCGTGAAGCTTTGCTGCATTCACGTTGGCCCCTGCAGGTCCAGAGCGGGGAACAAATATCACCGAGCAGAGAACGTGGAGCCAAGAGAAACATCAGCTCGTTCTTTTTCATTCAGCACCGTGTACAAAAGCGAACCCCATCCAGGGCACAAAATCAAAACAGACTCTGCTACAGCCTTGTCAGGATGTTTTTCAAAATCCGAAAGCAGGAAGTACTTTTTTTTTCTTACAACAAGTGAGCTAAAGTCAGGTAACAGTAATAAAGAAACATAACTGGAAATAGAACCAAAAAGAAGAAAACTAAAACAAAGAAGTCCCCTGTGAGTTAAGAGGCAGTTCTAATGCCCAGTGCAGGCTGTCCCCACAGGTCCCGAGGCTCTGGAAGCTCAGGTTGAGCTACTCAAGCTCTCCTGCCTGTCCTTGCATGCAAACGCACACACACAACCACACCGTGGACACACACACACAGCGACACACATACACACACCATGGGCACAGGACGGAGGCTCTAAAAATGTGCATTGAATGAATGTATATCTTACAAAAACACATACAGAGACACATTAGAATGGTGGGGCGTGGGGGACAGAGGAAAGAAGGGAGAAGGGGGAGAAAGTGGCCTTGTGTGGATTAATGTGCCTTGAACTGAGAGAGCGCGCATGAGCCAGCAAAACAACCGACACCAGCTGGGCGTTAAAAATCCTCAACTTCGTGCTTCAGAGAAAAGAGGTCAAAGCCTGCACATTATCAAAATCCTGATTCCAAAGCAAAATAGGATTTAAGCAGACTCAGAGTAAGACCTTAGCGAGACATGGGACTGTCACGCACCTTAGCGCACCAAGGACCCGGGACGGCAAGCACAAACGGCTCAGCATATGCTTGCGGACAAAAGAATAGAGAAGCATGTGACGAGTGCACGCCGGGCTGGGAAGATGGAAGTCCAGCACGCCTCAACTGGCTCCTTCGGAATGCTGCCAGCAGTTAAATATTTACTGCCCGGATCAGATTAACAATCGCTTCACCATAATAACTGGACTTTCACCTTCCCCAGCCCTCCTCCTCTGCAAAAATAATCTGCAGCTCGGTGACTTGGCCTCACTGCCTACACGACACCAGCAGCCTTGTATCCACCCCTGGGAGGCACCACACAGCCCCCCAGGGCTCAGCTCCTCCAGCAGGGCCAGGGGCCTCTCTTAAATCTCGTGCAAAAGCACCCACATGCATTTTTTTCTAGAGATGTGGTCCATGGCTTTCATCAGATTATCCATCTAGGTGAGAATCACTACTCTAAAAAGAGTCCATACGCTGTTCTCTTCTCTCTACTTCTCTGTATGTTTGAGATTGCCCATAGTTAAAAAATAGCTTAAGAAAATAAAAAGAATCCATTTAATCTAAGAAGGGATGTCAAAGATCGTCTGAGAAGACTAGACTAGAACCAAGGATTAAGTCCAGAGCTGACAGCGTGGTGGCAGTCAGCGACAGCGAGTGATGCTGACACATCACGGAGCATTCCCCAGGAGAATTCCGTTCACCCCTCGCTCCATTCTCCAGGTGTATAGAAACTCCCATGGAAACAACTGGGTCCCATGCTCAAGGCCGTCATGGACATTGTGGTTGCCCTCCTGTTCCTTTCCAACCTGCCCCACTGAACTGCCACCCTGCAATGTGGGGTCCTAACCTCCAGCTCCCCGTGTGGGCCCTTGCTGGGTTAATCCCTCCCCCTACCCAGGCCCGAGCCAATCAGAATTTGGCGAAGTCTGGCCAAAGGGACAACGTTTGACAGGGACACAATTCAGGCCGATGGGACATAAGGAGGAATGTGAGGGAGATATCTGGAGAAGGGGTTCTTCCCTCCTCTGAGAAAGCTATCAGAAGCCTCACAAAGTGACGTAGATTTCAGCCCAACTCTGCTGCAGCCATTTTACCCCTATCAGGGACGCCATGGGTAGGATCAAGTGGACACTGAGGAAAACAGAACTGCAGAATTAAAAGAAAGTGAGTTCTTCATGACGCTGTTGAACACCTGGGTCAAACTGACCCTGAAACCTGGTCTAGTTCTGATCTTTCCAGTTACCTGAACCCAGAGTTCCCCTCACCCAGGTGAAGCTAGTTTCCTATTACTGACAAAGGAGTGATCACTTCTATAAAGTCCTAACTAATGCAGAAAGGATGTTGGGGATAAAACCATGAATTTGATCCTTTCCTCTTGAGCCACAACAAAAAGAACTAAAGGAAAAATGGAATGAAGGTGTACCGAGCACATATATACCAGACACTCTGCAGAAGGTTGTCACACTGTAAAATTTTTATGTTAAAAGCTCAACAGCAATAACAGGTAGATACCATAGGTTGATAGAAATGGGGTCCAACCATCTGATGAGTGACTTGCCTAGAAGACCTATGACTGCTTCTAACCTAGATAGTTTATCATTGTATAAAAAACAAAAACTACCCCAGTGACCAACCCTACACGAAATGAACCTTTTTCACTGAAAAGACTTAAAAGTGGCACATTAAAGTAAGACTCACTAATAGAAAACTACACACAACTTGAACTCAGATGACCGTCATCCAGGGGGAATTCATAATCTTTCTATTTCTGAACAGTTTTGTTTCTGTATCCTAAATTGCACCCAGAATGGATGAGACGGCTGAGCTAAAATTTTCCATCAACAAAATATTTCAGTTGGGTTCATAATAAAAACTCCCTGCCAATACCCACTCCAGCTCCATTAGGTAGACAGGTCCTGAATCTAACCTTCAGTTGGTTGGTTGGTTTTTATTTTGTTTTTGTTTTTCACCTTGGGAACCTCTCTATCCTGAGCCTTTTCAGAACTGGATTCCAAGTGCTGCCAACTCCATTTTCCATTGGATCCCGTCTCTTCCTAATTTAGACAGCAAGTGTATCAGGCAGGTATTGTGAATGGTCCCCTGTGGCCACTGAAAATAATTGTCCACCACCTACTATGCACCAGGTACTGCAGGAATGTTATCACGAATCCTCCCAATAGCCCTGCAAAATAGGCTTCATTTTTCCAGTTTTATAAATACAGAAACTGAGACCCAAGGTCTCAGTTGGCAAGTAGGAAAAGCCAGCTTCAAACCTAGGCTATCTGAACCCATCACTCAGCTCTCTGCCGGCACACAGTGCAGAAAAACAAAACACCTGCGTTGAGCAGAGCAGGTATAAACACTGATGCACCTGCATTGAGCAGAGCAGGTATAAACACAACACACCTGCATTGAGCAGAGCAGGTATAAACACTGACGCACTTGCACTGGGCAGAGCAGGTGTAAACACTGATGCGCCCGCACTGGGCAGAGCGGGTGTAAACACTGACGTGCCTGCACTGGGCAGAGCGGGTGTAAACACTGATGCACCTGCACTGGACGGAGAGGGTGTAAACACTGACGTGCCTGCACTGGACGGAGCAGGTGTAAACACTGAGGCACCTACACTGGACGGAGCAGGTATAAACACTGATGCACCTGCACTGGATGGAGCAGGTGTAAACACTGAGGC